TTTATTCGATATTTTATTTATTTACATTTCAGATGCCATCCCCCTTCCCCATCACCCCTTCCCCACGAACCCCCATCCCATCCCTCCTCCTCCTTTTTTGCCTTTATACTGTTTAAATGACATGCAAGTATTAAGGTCAGTTCTAGGTTGAGGGAATAGCAATACAATAGATGCAAATAGTCCAGGAACAAGGAAGACAATAAACCCAGATAGTTAAAGAACATGCACACAATAAACAGAGTCCCATGATCGCTCCTGTGATCACTGTTTCTAAGGGCTTATCAGGATGATCAAAGTATCTGAGCCTACTTCCCTGTTCTAGTCCAAAGTCATTTTCATGCCTGAAGCCTACTTCTTTGTTCTAGCTTAAGATACAGATTTCTGCCTAAAATTACTTCTTTGTTCTAGCCTAAGATGGGAATTTCTTTTCTGATTTTTATCTGTTTTGTATTTTGTAGGCCTTTAATGCACTTTTTGAAAACTCATAGAGGACTTACTACTGTAAGAAGTTTCCAGATAGAAAAATAATTTAAAATGGAATTACCTTATAATAGAGAAATACTGCTTCTACTAGATACCACAGGATAACAAAAAGCCCAAATGCTGGGAATGGGTCAACTCTCTGGGGTTGTTGGCTGGTGAGATGCTATAGACCCCTCAACAGTACAGACTACTTATCAGTGTTCTTGGTTACTCTGGAACTTAATTGCAAGATCCCACTGCTGAAGATACCACATACACTTGGAGTCATAGAACACTAAGAAATCTGTCTGTTACTAACCCTGAAGCTTTCTACTACTAGCTAACTTTCATAATGCTGTAGAGCACTATACATAATTTTGAAGAAAAATAACCATCAGTCTTACCCAGTTGTGAACCTTGCAAACTACAAAAAGGACTGTTCTGTAAAGACAAGCCCACTAATGCAACAGAGGCATAAATACGATGGGAGTAATCAGTCACTTTCTGATTGGATTTATGTTCTGCTTTACAATATGAAACTCATACTTGGCACCATTATTGGGACTAAGAGCCTATGGTTAAACAACAGGGGAAAAGGACTATGATTATTATTCTAAATAAACATAGTATTAAATTGATTTTTGATGACATATTGTTATGTACATAGATTAATGCATCTCCAAATTCTCTTCAGAAAAGCTTATTTATGCAGTGAATGGTGATTATCACAGAGATCTGCAACAGTCCAGGCTTCAGAAAACAAGAGACTGAGGAATGATCAGCTGTAAATGACATGTTTGTATCACAACTCCATCCTCTCAAGGCTCAAAGATAGATATAGGAAAGTGGAAAGACTGTAAGGGTTAGAGGTGGTGGATAGCTAGAAGAAAACAATGATTTCTAGATACAGCATGCTTCACACATAAACTCACAGCAGCTGTGACAGTATGTACAGGAACTATATAGCCTCTTTAAGACAAACGATACTGTCAATGGAACAAAATGGTAACCTACAGATTGGGAAAATATCTTTACCAATCCTACATCCAATAGAGGACTAATATCCAAAATGTACAAAGAATTTAAGAAATTAGACTTAAGAGAACCAAGTAACCCTACTAAAGTGAGGTACAGAGCTAAACAGAGAATTCTCAACTGAGAAATTTTGAATGTCTGAGAAGTACCTAAAGAAATGTTCAACATCCTCAGTCATCAGGGAAATGCCAATCAAAATGACCTGAGATTCCACCTCACACCAATCAGAATGGCTAAGTTAAAAAACTCAGGTGACAGCAGATGCTAGCAAGGATGTGGAGAAAGAGGAACACTCCTCCATTGCTGGTGGGATGACAAGCTGGTACAATCACTTTGAAAAACCATCTTGTGGTTCTTCAGAATATTGAAAATAGCTCTACCTGAAGACCCAGCTATACCACTATAAGACAAATACCCAAAAAATGCTTCAACATATAACAAGGACACATGTTCCACTATGTTTAAAGCAACCTTATTTATAATAGCCACATTTTCTGTATCCACTCTTCTGTGAGGAACATCTGGAAACAACCCAGATGTCTCTCAACAGAAGAATGGATATAGAAAATATGGTACATTTGCACAATGGAGTACTACTCAGCTATTAAAAACAATGACTTCATGAAATTTGCAGACAAATGGATGGAACTAGAAAATATCATCCTGCATGAGGCAACCCAGTCACAAAAGACACAGATGGTATGTACTCACTGATAAGTGGATTTTAGCCCCAAATCTCAATATATCCACAATACAATTCACAGACCCTATGAATCTAAACAAGAAAGAAGACCAAAGTGTGGATGCTTCAATCCTACTTAGAAGAAAATAATCAAGGGAGGTACAGGGAGAGAGGGATCTGGGAGGGAGAGAGGAGGAGAAGAGAAAAAGGGAGGCAGGGCCAGGTATGAGAAGAGACAGGACAGAAGTCCAGATGGTCAGGAAAATGAACAGAAATATGTAGCAGTAGGAGGTGGAGAACTAGCGGTAGCCGCTAGAAAGTCCCAGATGCCAGGGAAGTGAGAGGTTTCCAGGACCCAGTGGAGTTGACATTATCAGAAGTATTCAACAAATGGGAGATAGAACCTGTAGAGACCACTTCTAGGAGATAAGCTTGGCCTCCAGTTGAGGGACGAGACCACCTACGCATCTCAAAAATTTTAATCCAGAATTGTTCCTGTCCAAAGGAAACACAGGGACAAAGAGTGGACCAGAGACTGAAGGAAAGACCATTCAGAGACCACCCCACCTTGGGATTCATCCCATCTGCAGACACCAAACCCTGACATTATTGCTGATGTCAAGAAGTGCTTGCTGACAGGAGTCTGGTATAGCTGTCCCCTGAGAGGCTCTGTCAGCACCTGACTAATACAGATACAGATACAGCCAACCATCACACTGATCCTGGAGACTCCAATGGAAGATTTAGAGGGAGGACCGAAGGACCTGAAGGGGATTGCAACTCCATAGAAATAATAACAATATCAACTAACTATTCCCCCTAGAGTTCTCAGGGACTAAACCACCAACCAAAGGGTGGTTGTGTAGCATTGGACTGCTTTACCTGACATCATGTGATATGTACCAGTGGATTGCCTTATCTGGCATCATTGGTAAGGGAGGCCCTTGGTCCTGTGGAGGCTTGTGGTCCCAGCATAGTAGGATTTTCGAGGGGTGAGGCAGAAGTGTGTGTGTGTGTGTGTGTGTGTGTGTGTGTGTGTGTGTGCACCCTCTTAGAGACAAAGGTGAGGAGCAAGGCATGAGTGATTTGTGGAGGGGAGACCTGGAAGAGAGACATTTGAAATGTAGATAAATAAAATAACCAATAAATAATAAATAAAATATCAATATTAAAAGTTCAATACCTATTAGTTGCAGAAAATGAATCAAAAATAGAAATAACCAAAAAATCCCAACATGTTAAAAAGTAATCATTATTCTATCATATGTTTATAGTTATATATGGATTCTCTATTTTTCATACACCTGTATACATATCAACTTAGCTATATGTAAATACATTTAATATAATTTTATTGTACATCAATCTACACTTAGAAAATGTATTTGACTATTTATCTACTACAATGTATTTTTCAACAGGTTTCCTACTTGTCAGGTAGTTGTAAACACTTGATGAATGAATGATTAAGTCAATGAAATTCAATTGATTTGGGAAATAAAGAACTGTAGAAGCTCAAATTAGACCAATTCCAAGCAGAGTTGGGGAAAATGGCACAAATTTCCAACCCCAGCTATGAAACTATTGACAATTGACAGTTTGTCGAGAAAGGCATAAAAAGTTTAGCCCCTGGTAAGTCTACCATGCTCCAGTGGAAGGCCATACACCTGAGACTAAATTGGACATGATGGATTTTAAAAATAAAAACACAAAAGACTTGAGTTGATCATTAGAGAAGGGAGTGCCTCTAGAAAGAGCTGGGGAAAGGTAAATATGATCAAAATATATTGCATGAAATTCGCAAAGAACTCATAACAATTTTAAGATTTTTATATTGCCTTAACTGTGAAACTTCAGAACACACACATTTTGCAAGAGGGAGATGAGGCCTCAGAACCTTGCAAAAGTTTCACTTCTCTTTACTGAGTAACCATGCTGAAATTATCCTTGACATTTGGTAATGTCTGGGTCCCTTCCTCCTCTAGTGGGCTTACATCCTAAGGACTCAGTTCATTTACATTTCTACTGGGTGTTGACTTTTCTTTTTTCTCCTTTTTGCAGTGTAGAATGCTATAGAGGGTTTTCCCCACATCTAAAATTCGTATCTTCTTTCAGTGAGAACCCTGAGCCCAAATAAGAAACTTGTAGGTGTTAGCAAGGATACTTGGTACAGTCCTGGAACTGACACTCATAGTGAGGGCTAAGGGACAGTGGTTGATTGCATGGATAGTGAAAGAAAAGAACAAGTCTTGAATTTAAAAGGTGTTTGGGAGAGGTGACACTTTGTCAGGCATATAAAAATCCTATAATAATCCCAGAATCAGCTCTATGTGAGCCATACAGACAGATGCTTGATGTTTCTCTCTGCTGCTGTGAATCGACACGGCAACATCAGCTTGCATATTCTGCAATGCACCTTCATAGTTGGAGATATAATGAGGATGATAAAGGCACCATGATATTATAGATATGGACAGGATGAAGGGGAAAACCTATGTGGGGCTCTTGCTCCTCAGTCACACTCACTTGGGAATAGATTCTCAGGAAAAGATTAGGTTTATTTGAAGGTGTTTACTGATCTTGGAAAAATGAAGAGAACTAGAGCTAAGTAAGGCCCTGTTAATCTCTTTGGTGTCAATAGTAGACATTATATAGCACTCTTGAGGAGGACACTTCCTTTTATTTTTATCTTCTATGCTGTGCACGCAACCCAGGACTTTTTTTTTAATTAAGAAGGCAGTCTATCAGCGAGTCAATTGCATAAGACTTCCTCTTCTTGGTGTGACAGTTCATAACGTAAAGTACAGTAACTGCAGCGGTCAGCCTCTGTGTTTATTTGTCCTGATGGTCACTGTAGTCTCATTTATTTGCACATTCGGGACCCCTGGAAGGAGACATGATGATTACTGCATTCACAGTGCTGTTCTACCTTGGTGAGATTTGGAGGGTGGAGCAAACACCTAAGAGAGGTCTAGGAGAGACCTCAGGCCTTAACCAAGCTTTAGATCATCAATGGATCCCATGGTATTGGGTGGCTTTGTAGAAGAGATGATCTACTCAAGCTTCATGAAGAAAATCTCACTGGAAATCTCTTTTAGGAATGAATCTGGAACCCAGGAACGCAGTTGCGGCAGGTGAGTCAGTTCCCCTGTCTTACCAGATCCTGTTTCCACATTGAGAACAGAAGACCATTGGTGAGCACTGGATTTGGACAATAGTATACGTGGGTTGATGCTGGGGATACTTTAAGGGTGCTGGGGCTTTGGGGGTGGAACATAAGAGAGGAATACTTTGGGACAGATTTTTTTTTTTGTTTCCATGTAGGCACACCTCCCATACCCACCCTTTGGGCTGAGCCAGGCTCTGTGGTCACCAAGGGACAGTCTGTTACTATCTGGTGCAATGGTACTCAAGATGCCCAGGAGTACAATCTGTGTAAAAAGGAAAATTCAAAAGCCTGTAAGACACAGACCTTACTTGAACCTGGGAACAAAGCGAACTTCTCTATTTCATTCATGACAGAATATCATGCAGGATCCTATTACTGCTACTATTACAACCCTGCCGGCTCGTCAGGATACAGTAACATCCTAGAGATGGTGGTGACAGGTAAGAGGATTCTAGGGTCCCAAACTCAGGTATGCCCTGAGTAAGGTATTCTGATCTCAGGGCATTTTCCTCTCACAGCCCAGTCTTTACCCAATGTAGAACATGTTTTCCACTCAACATGCTTGCTCCCTCCTTTAGGATTCTACAGCAAGCCCAACATCTCAGCCATGCCAAGCTCCCTGGTCACCTCAGGGGGGAATGTGACCCTCCAGTGTAGTTCACACCAGGGATATGGAAGGTATGTCCTGACTAAGGAAGGAGAAGAGAATGTGTCCTGGAATCAGGACTCACAGAAACAACCCAATGGGCATTTTATGGCTCTGTTTCCTGTGGGCCCAGTGACTTCCAAACACAGATGGGCCTTCAGGTGTTATGGCTACTACAAGAGAACCTCCCAGGTGTGGTCAGTTTCCAGTGATACCCTACAGCTCCTTTTCTCAGGTGAGACAATCATATCTGTGACATTTATTTGAAGCCTATAAACTTGCTGTCATGAGCCCTGTTGCCAAGGGAGTACAATAAAGTTGAAGGGTACTTAAGGCAAGATCTGCAAGGAAGGATGGAGAGGAAGGTGTTTGGCATGACTCTATTCTCAATACCTGGCCCACTTTCCATCTGAGACCATCTAGGAAGCTCTCCATTTTGACCCAGCAGGGCACAGACTCCGACCTTTCAATGTCAGGGTGACACTTCCTGTGATAAATTTGTTCTATTCAGTGAAGGAAAACATTACATCTAATCCTGCCCTAGCCAGCAGCTGTAGGCTAAGCTCTCTCAGGCTGATGTCATATTGGTACCCGCAAACAACTCCCACATTGGTCAGTACACAAGCTGTGGATATACCATAGCCTCCATGTGGCCATTCAGCTACAACCTGTGGTTATCCTAAACACAGAAGATCCCTGGCTCTGTAAGAGACCCAGATTCTTAAAAGACCAAGCTGTGGAGCCCATGAGTAGAATGAAGGGTGAGATCTCTGGAAAGATATGAGACAGAAAGATTGGAGTTTAAGAAGTGAAAAATGAGTGAGAATGACAGGCAGGGAGACATGCCTGATACAGAGTCATATAAGACAGACACAGACACTCAGGAGCCATACACTTGGTTTAGAGGCAGGATCTCACCTGGTGTGGAGCTTGCCAAGTAGTCAAGGCAGGTTAACCAGTGAGTACCAGGGCTTGTCTTTGCCTCCTCAGTGTTGGAATTACAGGGGCCAAACACAACACACACACACATTTTGGTTTTGTATTTAGATATGATCTTTGTTTGAGGGAGCTGTTTTAAAATAGTATCTGATTGTTTTTTTATTTTTTATATTTCCATATGTGTATAGAATCAAATATGATCATATCTACTCCCATTCTTTGCCCTCTCAACTCTCTTCAGACATACCACTCCTAACTTAATCTTTTTTAAAATTCACTAATTCGATTTCTCCTGTCTGTATGTGCATAGATGTGGGTAAGTTTGAGCATGGAAAAATTTATTACTGTCCACACCTTCAAAAGATGGTGATTCTTCCTCCCTTATCATCTTCCAGTGGCCAATAACTCCTCAATAGTAAGAAAAGGGATGTAAAAATCAACTACCTATTTGTGATAGAATTTTAGCTGGCCTCATCTTGTGTAGGCCTTGTTTATTCTTTGAAACTTTCATGCATTTATAAAATGCAATGCATGTTGATCATATTCTTCCATTACTATCTCCTTCCAACTCTATTCTCCACTCTCCCTCCCTCCCAATTTCAGATCTTCTTTTAAAAAGTAGTTGCAAAGTAATTAAAGGCAGAAATCTAAATCTTAAACTAGAACAAAGAAGTAGGCTTCAGGCATGAAAATGACTTTGGGCTAGGACAGGGAAGCAGGCTCAGATGTTTTGGTCATCCTGATAAGCCCTTAGAAATAGTGATCACAGGAGTGATCATAAAACTCTGTTCATTGTTGTGCATGTTCTTTGACTATCTGGGTTCATTGTCTTCCTTGTTGCACCTATTATATTGCTAGTCCCTCAACCTAGACCTGACCTTAATACTTGCATGTAATTTAAACAGCATAAAGGCAAAAAAGGAGGAGGAAGGATGGGATAGGGGATTAATGGGGAATGGGGGATGGGGAGTTGGGATGGCATCTGAAATGTAAAAATAAATAAAATATCAAATGAAAAATGGAAAAAACTATAATTAATATCCTATGTGTATGTATATGGGACCACCCACTAGGGCTTGGTCAATGTATCATTGGTCACATTTGCAAAGGAGATTGACTCACCCACTGCCAGCAGCCATCAATTCCAATAGCTCCTTAGCTAGGGGTCCCTTCCCAGTATATACGTAAAAAAAAATTTTTTTTGACTGGACTAATCTTGAGCAGATCTTATTCAGGTAACTACAGTTACTGTGAGCTGATATGTGGAACAGTTGGTGTAATACCAGAGTCAGCATTTCACAGCTCATCTCCCTGTCTTCTGGCTGTTATACTCTTTCCACCCCCTCTTCTATGATGTTTCCCAAGACTTGACTGTAAGGAGGTTGATATGGATGTTCCATTCATAGATGAACCCTCATGGTTAAATCTGACACATTGTACAGTATGGAATCTCTCCATTAATCACCACCCACCGAGGAAAGATACGTCTCTGACCAATGTTGAGAGCAGCACAAATCTGTGGGTATAAATATATACAGATAGAATCCAGTTTGACAGTTTGACCATTTAACAAAAGAACAACAGTGAGTTTCCCATACCTAGAGCCTATTATCTCCACAGTCCTGGCCTTTTGTCCATATTTACAGTACCATCCATGAAATCCTTTCTGTACTTTAGGCCTTATGTCCAATTACAAAGCTGATTACACCCGTAACTGCCATGTCAATACTGCACCAGTAGGCAATCTTACCTAAGAGGTCACTATTATAGGATGCAGGGAATCAGAGCTAGATAAGACCATTGATGTCATTTTTCACCCTGAAGCATGCATAACACTTTATGGAACTTTCTAAGCTAGCCAGCAGGGAGAGAGCTTCCAAGTCAGTTTAAGATTGCTTTCCCTATGTCCTGCTACCCAAATGAGTGTCATCTTTAAGAAGAGATGCTTACAATCTAGGTACAATGGAAAACCAAGAACATGAGCTCCATTTGTTTGGGTACTTATTAGGTGTCCCTGACCAAAAGCACATAGGGAGACACAGTGTGCCTGGTGATAATATTTTCAGTTAATAACCCACACTTTCTAAAAGCAGCATTGTCCACCCATAAGGATGCTTTTGTTTAAACTACTTTTAAAGTATATTATATACAAACTAATAGATTTCCTTAAAATGCCTTCATATATCTTAAGTTTTGGTTAACCCACCCCTAACCCCTCTCTTTCCCCAGCTCCCATCTCAACTTATATCTTTAGCCCTAAGTATTCTCTTCCTCATGCTCATGCAGGAATAACTTCAGTGACTGAACTGTGCTATAAGCCTATGCTGTATATTAATAAATATACTGTATATAAATAATGAATATAATACTTTAAAATTATTGAATATACTTAGGGAAATATTAGTGATTATTCAACTAATTTAATAATTAAAACAAGGATTTTTATGAACTTATATTTACTAAATAATATTATCTCATTGATATAGGCATCTATCTCCTCTACTTTTTTTCAATTTGGGAATCTATTAATTTCATTGTCGTGGTTGATCAAATTTCCAGATTCAGACTCACAAGATCGCACAGTGGAAAATATCATCAGGATGGTTGTAGCTGTCTTGGTTCTGGTGGTTCTTGGGATTCTGCTCTTTGAGGCTCAAAATAGCCAGAAAACATCTCAAGATGCAGTGAGGAGGTGAACCAGAGAAGAGTGTAACATTTATTGTGGTAGAGACCTTGGAGATGAATCATATGAGTAGAGGAAATCATGGATGAAAATTTATGGCATAAATATATGAACACTATTGAGGACCCTGAGGACAACACCACCTTTGGGTACAGGGGAAATGTCTGAGAGATCTGTGAAGAGAACTCTACACCAATTCAATTGGGACAGATTTTTGGCTTGAATGAGATGACCTCCATAACCCCAGGCATTTCAGAACTTGTTCCTCATTTCGTGGAGCTGTTTGGAGGGACTTGGGAGGTTTGGCCTTGTTGAAGGAATTGCTTTAGTGGGGACAGGCTTTGATAGTTTAAAGACTTATCATTTCTAGCTCACTCTTCTGTATCCATTGTAAATGTGTCTGAAATACTCCAACCTGCATGGACTCTTCTTAACCCAAAAGGTAAGTAACTCAAAATATCTCCAGGAAGCCTCTGAAACTGACCAAATTCACTAGTCCCCCCCTTTTTTTTTTCAAAAATAAGCAAGAAAAGCTGTTGAGTTGTTCCCTTTTTAAAAATTATTTTTATTTATTAATTTACTTTTCCATTAATTAATTCATTTTACATCCTGATTGCTGCCCCTCTCCTTTTCTCCTCTGAGATGGTAGGGTTGATCATGAATATCCCCCGACCCTGGCACATCAAGTCTCTGCAGGGCTAGGCTCATCCACTTCCACTGAGTCCTGAAAAGGCAGTCCAGCTAGGGGAGTGGATTCGTCAGAGAGGCAACAGCATTAGGGTCAGCCCTATTCCAGTTGTTGGGAGACCCACATGAAAACTAGACTGCACATCTGCTACATATATGCCAGGGGCCTCAGTCCAGCCATATATACTTTTTAGCTCATGGATCAGTCTCTAAGAGTCCTCAGAAGTTCAGGGTAGTTCACTATGTTGGTCTTCCTGTGGAATTTCTATTCACTCTGGGGCCCTCAATCCTTTGCTCAACTCTTCCATAAGAGACCCCAAACTCCATAAAATGTTTGGCTGTGGGTTTCTGCATCTGTGTCAGTCAGCTGCTATGTGGAGCCTCTCAGAGGAAAGTTATGCTAGGCTTCTGTCTTCAAGCATAACAGAGTATCATTAATGGTGTCAGGGATTGGTGCTTACCCATGGTATGGGTCTTAAGTTGGGCCAGTTACTGATTGACCATTCCTTCAGTCTCTGCTCCATCTTTGTCTCTGCATCTCTTAGAGATAATACAAATTGTAGGTTGAAACTTTTGTGTTTGATTTGGTGTCTATATCCCTCCACTGGGGGGTCTTGCCTGGCTATAGGATGTGCCTTCTTCAAAATCCATAGGCCCACTGTTATATGTATCTGATAAGGTCACTTGCATTGATTCTTGAGAGGCTCCCACGTCCCAGGTCTCTGGCACATCATAGCAATGTCCCACCCTCCCTCCTCTGCCAGTTGCATATTTTCATTCTTTGTTTGAGGAGCCTCTGTTCCTATGTCCGTCTGTCCTCCTGTCCTGTGCTTCCTCATACCTGATGCTAAAATCCCATATTTCCCTCTGATCCTCTCTACTACGAAGTTACCAACCTCCATCTGCCTCCTATGACTATTTTATTCCCTCTTGTGAGATTCAAGCATCCTTTCCTGGGCCTTCCATCTTTTTAAAACTTCTTTGGGTTTGTTCAGTGTAGTGTGGGTTTCCTGTACTTTATGGCTAATATCAACTTATAAGAAAGTCACTCTTAAACAAGGCAAGTGTTGAAGAAGAATCTGGGACCAAGCCAGACTTCTTGAATTAAAAATATCAACTGAGCTGCCTGGAAGAGGTTTAGATCAGAGTCACTTGAAAAAGACACTCTAGAACCTCTTGAGCGTGTCTAAAGGCTCTGCAGTGTGCTATTTTTGAGTTGTCACTCATACTTGCGTAAACTTTGATCATGCAGCTGTCTCTGAGTCATTTCTGCTACTGTAAATAACCATAATAAAGCTCAATGGTTCAGCATATTGGACTTTGGTGGTATCTGTTCTTTGGTGGCTCACTATCTAGAGTGAGTAGACATGTTTGTTGTGTCTCCCAGAAAGTCTTGCTACAAACAACTCTTTCCTCCTTGTGTTTATGATTCAAGATGTGAATTTTCAGCTTTTTTTCTGTTCTTACCACCATGCTTTTGCTTTTTTATCGTGGACTCTAATCCTCTGGAAATGTAAATGTAAATAAACAATTTCTTTCATAAATTGCCATGGCCATGATGTTTTGTCACAACAATAGAAAAGTAAATAACACAGGAGTCAGTATCAAGAGTGAGATATTGCTGTGATAAGCGTGGCCAAGTTCCTTTTCAGAAGAACGTGGAAGACTTCGTGGGTTTGGAACAGAAAAGAAGTTGAATGCTGTAAGCAGAGATTATTGGGCCATCCTAGTGGGAGCTGTGGAAGACAGGGATGAAAGCTATACACAATATAGGGGCCTGAAGATTATTTCAGAGATAAGCAAGGACCTTAGCAGCAACCTAGATAATCCTTTTTGATATTCTGGAAAATGATAAATGTCTGCCTTCTGTTCTTGCCCTAAGAACTTGTCTGAGACTAAATTAAAACTTAATGGACAGCATCCCTGTGAGCATACCAACTGCACAAGTCCAGGGAAAATGGCAAGCTAACTGAAGACCTTTGCCACTCACTCTTCCCCTCCAAATGTAACCCCACAATCCCATCCCTGTGTCTGAAACAGAATACCAGCTTCATCCTACCTTACTCACTGCACATATTTCCTGCAGATGCCACAGATCTCCCCCATCTAACATCCATTCTCCACTTGTTGCTTTATAGTATTCTCTAAATATAGTAGGCACCCCTGGCTTGCCTATAAGCCATGCCTTTGAGGAAACCAGCTAGGCTGACTGCAGATATTCCCTTTCTTTTTTCCTCGTATCCAAACCCCAGTCTCCTCCCTAGCTTTGTAACAGAACAAATGTGGAAGCCTTCACTGTTTCTGTCTCCATCTCTGGTGAGTAATACAGAGCTTTCCCATTCAACCACATTCCTCCACTTACTGCTTTATACTGGACTGCAACCTAGTGAACACCCCCTGCTAACCTAAGGGCCTCTGTTGCCAGGTCAACAAGTAACCTGAAGGCATATCCACATCTATCCTTCTGCCCTTCCAGATCAAATTCCCTCAGCCTCATCATCACCTCTGTAGCAGAAGCTCTTGGGTAAAGTCCTTTCATTGTCTTTACCAATTCCAAGGAGACAGAATAGGCAGATCCTGGTTGAACATTCTGCTTGTATCCATTATGTGACCCCATTCAAACATGTAGCCTATCCCCATTCCTAAGTTCCACTTACTAATACCAGGAAACACATTTGATCTGGAACCCATTGTGATCACAACATTCAGGCCCAAAAAATTTCTACCAGGCAACACACAACCATCACACTTTCTGAAAATCCAGAGAGAAAACAGAAGCCAAAGAACAAACAACAATTCAATAAAGACAAATCCAGAAACCAGGACCAGACCTATAGTCATCCCAATACCAGGTACACAGAAAAAGCTCCAAATCACAATTAATATGAACCCAGGCAATATATCTCCAGTAGAGCCAACTGTCCTATCACATCACACCCAGAAATTAGCAATATAGCTGATGGATATTAAAAAGACCTTAAAACCACCTGTATGAAGATGATAGAGGCCCTTAAACAAGCAGTGAATAAATCCCTTAAAAATCCAGGAAAATATAAACAATATGAAGAAAAGAATAAAGACCTGGAAATGGAAATAGAATCAATAAAGAAAATCCAAACTGAAGGAATTTTGGAAATGAAAAATTTAGGAATACAAACAGAACTACAGAGACAATTATCACCAACAGAATAAAAAAAAAGATTGAAGAGAAAACTTGGGCATTAAAAGTACTATAGAAGTATTGAGTATATCAGTTAAAGAAAATGTTAAATCTAAAAATTTTGTAACACAAAGTATACAGGGAATCTGAGATAGAATGAAAAGGACAAATAAAAAAAATTGTAGGAATAGAAGGAGATGAATTCCAGCTCAAAGGTACAGAAAATATTTTTTAATTAATTTATTTATTTGCTGACATCTCAAATGCTGCTCCCCATCCCAGACCCTCTTTCACATAATCCTTCCCTCTGATGCTTTGAGGGGTAGTGTCCCCCTGGATATGCCTACACCCTAGCACATCAAAGTCTTTGCCAGACTAGGCACATTCTCTCCCACTGAGCCCAGATAAAGCAGCCATGAAGAAAACTGAGTTGCATGTCTGTTCTAGGGTCCTAGCTCCAGCCCATGTATATTCTTTGGTTGGTGGCTCAGACTCTGAGAACTTCCCGGGATCTAGGCTTATTGACACTGTTGGTCTCCCTGTGGGGCTCCCATCCCATTTATGGCCTTCACTCCTTCCTACAAGTCTTCCATCAGTATCTTTGATCTCCATCTAATGTTTGGCTGTGGGTATCTGCATCTGATTTTAGTCCACTGCTGGATAGAGCCCCTCAGAGGACAGTTATACTAGTCTCCTGTCTGCAAACACAACAGAATATTATTAGTACTATCAGGGAAAGGTGCTTGCCCACACGATTTCAGTTGAGCTGGTTATTGGTTGGTCTTTCCTTTAGTCTCTGTTTCATCCCTACATCCAGAAAATATTTTTAACAAAATCATAGAAGAAAAGAATTCCCTAAAGTAGGAGATTTATATCAAAGCACCAGAAGTATACAGAATACTAAATAGATTAGACTAGATAAGAAAGTCCTCATAATAATAAAATACTAAATGTATAGAACAATAAAAAAAGAATATTAAAAACTTCAAGGGAAAAAGATCAAATAAGATACAGAGGCAGATCTATTAGAATTACACCTGTTATCTCAATGGATAGATGTGCGGCAACTGTAAGAAACCTAGAGATGCCAGACCAGATTATTGTACACAGCATTTACCTCCTAAAATCATAGAGACCTCCTAAAATCACAAAGATCCTTATTGGACTTGATTTACTCTAGTACAATAGAAAAGACTGTATACAGCTCTTGACTGTGTACAGCCCTCAAAGAAGAAGGTTGCCTTTACATAAACAAGACAAGGAGGGTTAAAGAGAGCATGAAATAGGTAGTGAAGCCTAAGAAAAATCAGAGAGAGAAAGAGACAGATGAATGCTGGTACAAGAATTGGTTTTCAGCCTCTCCAAGGTTGTCAACCCTATTTCCTTCCATCTTGGGACCATTATTTGGGTTCTTTTTGCTTTTTTCTGCTGGTCCCTGGATCTCAAATAGGCGGACTAACTCTGTGATACAACAGATAAATAATTTGGTAGCAAAACCTACACAGATACATTATCATAAGTTAGCTATGGAGGACCACGAGACTCAAGATGAGGTCGTTACTTTATA